GCATACTTGAAAAAGTGTCTGTTGATGTGCAGTCACTGTAGACTTTAACTAAAAAACAAGAACTGAGACTCAATTAATGAAACACCTGAGAATGAGAGTATAAATGCAATTACTGTGGATACTTTTTCTTTGAATCACTCAAAACTCACTGAACAAAATGACTACTAGACAAACGTACTACACAAAATGTAATGTTCTTCCACATTAATATCTGTGAGTTTTTAAGTCTGTAATGTGATAACATTAATATCACTGCATTCCTCTGTAGAGAACAATGGTGAAAAAAAGAACAACATAAATCAAAGCTACTGCAATATGCTGACAGTGAGCATAGTGCTGAGAGAGGAAAAATTGTGACATGGCAAGGAATTCAGAGGAAATTAAAAAACAATAAAAGCATTTAATTTAATGATTTCAGCATAAACAATTTGTCACGGACGGGCAAACAAACAATTTTAACACATTCATATAAATATGTCTGGGTAATAAAAAAAACAACAACAATAAACAAAAAAAAACAATACTAAATTCAATAGGAGCTGAGAGGAGAGGAGAAGAATGAAGAAAAGTTCCTATCTGATATGCAGATGGGATAGATATAAATTTACTCCATTCACATGGCACACTGGAAATTCGGCCATCAGAATGAGAGTCCAAGCTTATAAAAACATCACAATATTTGTTTAGAACTCTTTTGGACTGTGTTGTAAACTGTGCTTGATCTGTGCATATTTCTCTCTTGATTCAGACGAGACAACTTTTTTCACTGGAGAAAGCAAATTTATGGATAGAGGACTCGTATTTTAGCTGGAAACAATGGTTTGAAGTTTTGGTGAAGCTTCACAAAATGTTAATGGATGGACTGGAGTCATGTGGATTACTTGTGGATTATTGTGATGCTTTTATCAGCTGTTTGAGCTCTCATTCTAACGGCACCCATTCACTGCAGAGGATCCACTGGTGAGCAAGTTATGTAAATGTCTCCAAATCTGTTCTGATGAAGAAACAAACTCATCTACATCTTGGATAGCATTTATTTTTGGTTGAACTATTTCTTTAGCTGTAACACAAATGCTCTTTTACTGCCACAATAACACAATGCACAGCAAAGTCCACTGCAGGATGTGACTTTCATGTACACAGCCTCCTGGGCGTTGGTCTTGCTTTTCCAGAAGTTTCTTGCCTGAAGACATTATTGAGAAGCTCCCAGGGACCACGTATGCTACACTTTTCCTGATTCAGGTTTTTCAGCAGGCAGCTAGTAAGCCAATCTTCTGTAATGGCCGTGGCAGCCTGCTGAACACTGTATGCTGTAGAGCCAGGTCTGAATACTTCAGAGAGGCCTGTCATTAGCTACACTGGGGGATCATTAGATGAAATATCAGGTCTCTACAGATACAAACTTAATAGGGCCTGCGCATTTGTGATTTTTAATTCATGTACAGGTCTATAAATAACAAGCTGGTGAGACAGAGGTATCCACCTGAGGGCTATGGAGCAAACTGCTGAGAGCACACCTTCTCCTGCTCTCGTCCTCATTCCCTCGCTTACACTCTGCTCCCCTTTCACCATTTACTTTCAGTTCAGTTTTTATTCCATTCCCTTTATTAAAGCACCCCTAACTGTTCCATCCTTCTGTGATGATACATACTTTATCAGAAACTTCAGAATAATCAAAACAATGGCATCAAAAGTTAAGAGTTAAGTTTTATTTGTAAAAATTCATAATAGCACTGCTTACTGCAGTACGTGCTGATAATTGAATGTGCTATAAACGTGCTATACTGTTACATTGAGCAGAAGACTGTAACTACCAACAGTCTTCAACAATTGTAACGGGGCATTTGTGATTCAGCAGCGCTGACTGGATATGTTCAAAACTAGAACCAGAGAACAACTAGTCACTGCCACTGGATTTGTCAAAGTTTGTTATGTTTGCAGCACAAAATCTCTGAAATATATTCAAAAGTTCTGTCTTAAGTCTGTCTGGATCAACTAGATATGACTGTTCTATGTTTCAACATTTGTCTCAATATTTGCTTTAACCGTTTTTTTTTTTTTGCAAAGTCCTTTATTATTGGTTCTACATTCAGAACCACTTAGATACTGTAGATGTACCTGCCCCTAAATTACATACACTCAAAAAAGAGAAAACTGTTATATGTTGTACATGAAAAATACAAACAAAATAAATAAATAAATAAAAATGTGCTGCTCACAAAATATTTCTTACCATTACCAATGTTAAAAGCAGTTGTTAAAGGGATAGTTCACCCAAAAATGAAAATTTGATTTTTATCTACTCATCCTCATGTCGCTCCAAACCCATAAGATCTTTGTTCATCTTCGGAACACAAATTAAGATATTTTTGATGAAATCCGAGAGCTTTCTGA